GGGGGGGGGGGGGGGGGGATTATGGATCTTTTCTGGAACGACCCATTTGGCATATGTCAGCATGTACTATCTAGAGAACGTGACTCAGAAAAAATCTTAAAATTGCGTCACCGCGGTGATAGCAGCTAAGCAAGGATTTATTATAACAATATTTAATTTGTTTGCAAAAAGGTATTCCTAACCCAACCTCATCTGACCAGAAACGAACACTAATCTTGATCGTCGTTCCAACTGGATTGATGTCCATAATAATTGTGGTTGTGGCAGGTTTTGTGTTGTACAGAAGAAAGAAAATTTACGGCGGATTTTACCTGTTTTCATATCCTCCTTTACCTGACTACATGGAGACCATAGACAGAAATGGAAATATTCAAGAACAGCTTCAGAAACTGCCGTTTATGCCAGAATGGGAATTTCCAAGGGAAAGGATAAGCTTTGGTAGGTTATTTATTTTTGTGCAATAATCCGCCAATAGGGAGAGAATAAAGTATATTTAAAATAAGGCAATTTTTTTATTATGGAATGGAAAGTCGCCTTCAAATTTAACATAAAGTGTTAATATCCTTATAATGTGACATATTCACAAAAGAGCAAATCATTTTCAGATAACCAGTAGGCCTAGCAGTTTTTGGGTGCTTTCCTATCTCGTATATAAGCAGCGTTTGCCATTGGCATTGAGCAATGAAACAGCAACGGATTGGTGATTTAAATGCTGATTTAGCTAGCTCACTGTCCGTTTTTTTATAGTGTCTTGGTCTCAGCAAATTGCGTGTGGTTAACCTCAAAGAAAATCATTTTCGAAATAGGTTACAAAATAATTAAAAATATTTTTCAGGCAGGGAACTTGGCTCTGGACAATTTGGAATTGTTTGGTTAGCAGAAGCAATTGGTATATCTGCATTTCATCCAAGAGACATGTTGAGAGAAAGAGAGGGCGGACGAAGGTTTCCCTTCTTCAATCGCACAACAAAAAGAAACAGCTATGTCTTTTGTAAAGAAGTAACCCAAGTTGCAGTTAAAACGATGAAAGGTTTGATTTTAAAATTTTGTACAGCACCTGCATGTATGATACAAGATTACTGCTTGCATGTATGCATTTAAAAAGCTACTTGTCAATAATTCATTCGCCGTGAGAAAATCTGAGACATATACAGTTCCTGATAAAAAATAGATCCATTCTAAAACTACACCGGAGTGACAGACAAGTAACAGACGAATACATACGTGAAACAGACGAGTAACCGACATTAAAGTAAGAGTCGCGTACATATATGTACGCCACTCTTACTTGAATGTCTGTTACTCGTCACAGCAAAAACTCATTTCCTTATTAAGAAAACAATTCTTAAATTAAGAAATTATTACTTAAAATGAGAAACTGATTTTCTTAACAAGAAAAACCATCCTTAAAATAAGAAATATTTTATTTACAAGATATTTTTTCTTGAAATAAGAAAAAAATTCTTAACAAATCTTAGATCATTTCGTTCGATTTCTTCATCTTCCTATCAAATCATTTTCTTAAGAAAACTATGATTTTCATGTTTTAAGAAGTTTCTTAAAACAAGATATCAAATTCTTAATATAAGAAATAATGGTTAATAAGAAATTGTTTCTTAAATTTTCTCGAAGAAAGAAAACTTAATATTTGTTATTAAAATTTAACGCCAGGAACTAGGAATGGAATTCTATTCTGGTGTTTAAATGCATATATAACATCTTTTATTATTTTTACATTTTCCCACAACGGATATATTTCTTCGGCGAAATCGTTTCTTAAAACAAGAAATATGTTTCCTCAATAGGAAAAATCATACTTAAAATAAGAAATATGTTTCTGAAATATGAAAAACCATACTTAAAGAAGACAAAAGAAGAAAAATTTTCATAACATATCTTAGATCATATTTGTGTGTATATTTTTTAATGCATGATGGCGTACGGTAACAACGAATCTTATTTTCTATATGAACTACCCTTTTTCGTTTGTGTGGTGCATGAGCGTCTAGATCTTCAACACCAGATCCTGACAAAGTAATTTTTAATTACTCATCCCGCACATTAACCGACGCTGAAAATATCCTTGTAGCAAGAAGCCTCAACTTTTCCTATCGACCGTTTTTTTGTGATTTTCTCGTTCCTTTTGAGAACTTATATGGAATCCTTAAGAAAGAGCCTGTTACGAAAATCCCGATCAATGGTTTTAACGCAGAGTTGATTAAAACTCAGATAAAGGATATCGCTTTGATGGGTTACAAAACGTACAATCCGCCGAAATCAATCTTTTCCAATGACGAGTTCAAGATAATTGGAGGACTCCAGAAGGACAACAACATTTATCTCATCAAGGCAGATAAAGGAAATGGAGTTGTAATTATTAACCGCGCGGATTACAACTCAAGAATGCTTAAAATGATAGACTACACAAGACCTTAGACCCTTGGGAATTTTGTCCTTAAAGGTAAAAGGTGAGAGAGGCGTAGAGTTGTGCGAAAGTAAAATCATATATTCAAATGGGGAAACGCTGAAGATCAAAGTCTAGAAATTTGAGTACGAATTTGCAGAGAATGTGAACCAGTGAATGCGAGGCAGAAATACAAAACTTTCTTGGGCACTGAACGAATCACAGCTTTGGGTTGAAAAACTTTGTCCAAGAAATCTCGTACGCACCGATCTAATAAGCCAGTAGGATAGCCATTTCGGTTAAACACGCACAATTCCCGCTGAACATGGAACTTCTCATAGCTAGAACAGATACTAAAGAAACGATATAATAGTGAAGATATTAGACAACGTTTATATTGAAATGGAATGAAATTATGAAAATTCGTAAAATGACCTGTGAAAGTGTGCTTTTGGTACACAGAAGTTTGGTACACAGAAGTTTGTTTGCAGATGACACTAACATATTTACCTCATCTAGAAATATTCAGCAACTAGAAACTTTAATGAACATTAATATTGCCAAGGTTAAAAATGGTGTGATTCAAACAACTTGTCGATTAATTTCTCTAAGACAAATTTTATGATTGTTAAATCAGCTAGGAAAGAGTACGTGCAAATTGACATAAAGATACAAAACGCAGATGGTTCGCGTGTTTGTTTATTAAGAAAAGATCATATATAATATTTAGGGGTTATGACTGACGATACCACATTCTGGAAATACCATATTCCATATCTTTGTTCTTTCGTATATTTCGTGGTATTGGTATTATCTCAAAGCTAAGACGTTACTTATTTAGTCAGCTTAAACAACTCTATTATTATATTATATACCCTCATATATTTTACGCTATTACTGCTTGGGAAATACCTATAAATCCAACCTACAAAGTTACAAACAAAGCAAAACCAAGTTATAAGGATTATGTTCTTTGCTATAACACATGGAGCTCTCACCAAGAGTGCTCTTCCATATTTAAATATGTTGGAAATTCTCAGTGTTGATAATCTTTATCGACTCAGTGCCTTAAAATGTATTCATCTATTGCACAAATGCCAACTGCCACGCATATTTGACAGTTTATTACAGTGTACTAGTGATGTACATACCTATAACGGGGGGACCCCTTTGAGATTAGTGAGGAGATCCACCCTTACATCATAGCCATGCGCCCGCGATATTTGATGAACTTTAGACTTCGCTAGTGCAATCGAGCGGAATTAGTACCCTCGCCTTGGGGACAAACTTTCGGTTCTAAGATTTCAAGCAGTTTATTGCCCATAGACTGATCTTTTGTTTTGAAGAAAAAACAAATAAACAATTGTTGGACTGCTCTTCTCATAGAAGTTTTTTCGGGTTTCTGAATAATGTTTTTCACTTTTTCCCCCGCAAGTTCTACTCTTTTGACCTGAAATTTACCATATTCGTGAGACCAGCATAGGTCCACCCATGAATCCTTTGATCAGAACCACACGCCCTTGATGCTTGATGCACTTCGCTAATGCTTTCCTTTCACCGGGTGTAAATAACTGAGCGGAATTAGTATACCCTTGCATCGTTGGCTTGGGGATAACCACGCTTCGTTGGCACGTATCGGCTAGTTTTCTATTTCTCAAAATAATGTTAATAGTTTTTGTACATAGAAATTTCGAGCGAATATTTATACCGCAACAATTTTGGATCCGACCCAAAGCTCTTGTTGGGAATGGCGAACCGGAGGGTTAAAAATTAATTATAGAAAGTACACAAGAAGAACGGCAACTGAGATAACAAAGCAAACAATGACGCAGTTCGTTTGATGAAACCTATTATTATTGTTTAAATCTGATTGTTATTCAAATCATTTTTACGTGTTGCAGAAAATTTTGATCGAAACGACCTAGCTGACTTGCAGTCCGAACTAAAGATTTTAACTCATGTTGGTGAAAATGAAAATATTGTAAATATACTAGGTGCTTGTACAAAAGGTTAGTAACTGTACTTCTGTTTTTAATTGATACATTACTGTATACAGATATGTAGAGGATGTGTCAACAATTTAAACTGTCTGAAAAATTTCGCAAATTTTTAAAATGTATTTCAGTATGGATAGTTAAAGTGGCTCGATACAATTTTCAAAAATTGAGGTGTTTAACACTTTGACATGTTCAAACTACGCATTTTTAGAATTTATTCAGCAGATATTGGGTTTTTAGATATTTTGATATCCCTACTTTCAAATTATATTAGTTTTAGTAACAGATAGTTCGTTGCTATGACGACATACGTGTACGAAATTCACTCCAAAATGGCCTATCGTCTCGTATAGTTGGAAAAGAAGCATGGTGACCCCAATTTTTTTTCGTGCATTATTTTACTTGGGACGAAAAGCTAACAATTAGCCAAATATAAAAAATTCTGTAATACCAATTTTTTGAAAAATGCGAAAATGTCGTACTCTTCGGTAAAATGTTTTTGGCATTACAGATTTTTTTTTTATTTTTTGTAAAATGAAACTTTTTAGCGGTGCAATACAGCATGCAAAATTTGAACATAGGTCACCAGAGAGAGAGATATAGCGCATTGTTTTTCTAAAATGGAAAATTCTAATGACGTCAGCAATTGACATAAAACGCTAAAGAACACGCGCAATGGCATGTGATGGCGCAAGCAACTGGTCACGTCAGGTCATTTCGGAAGTTCTTTCATTTTGATAATCAGTTTCCGCCACCTGCGCCGTAAAAGTGGTCACCCGGTTTACTTCGCGATTCTTGAGAATGATTTCTGTGATAACTGTATCGATCCACCTAAATAATTGGAAAGTTGAAGACACGTCTCGAAGTCGTAGATGTCTAGAATGCGCTTAATGAACTACCAGACATCAAATTAATAAACAATTTTCATATTTAATTTGATGTACATTGAGTTCCTCCGGGAATGAGACAGTAATTGAAATTTGGTATTTCTGTTGTTTTAAATTTCATGGGTAAATGATTTCAGGCATTTCAAACATTAGAATTTCGTATTCAGTGATCTGGGCCCTGGCGGCGGGCGTACTCTTCTTCAAACTAGGGACCTTAAGCATGTACGACGGCAACGCGACAACAACAGCCAAAACAAACTTCTTCAAATAAATTATTGCGAAGAATAGCTGTTGTGTATTATCTACTGCATGTATATATGAATTGAGGTCAGTTTGAAGAGATTAAAACAAAGGCTTTATGGTTAAAAACGCTTGACATCATGCGTTGTACACGAGACGTGAAAATATCTGGTTTGTCGTTGTAAAAAGCCCTAACACAATGTCTCTAACTCCTGTGGGGCTTTTCATTATTCATTTCTTTTGTACGAGATCAGGAATATCATTGTGTGGATAGTCGTCGTCGCCGCTTTGCCGTCCTGTTTGCTTAAGGTCACTAAATAAATGTTTCGAACCTGACTACCTTCCCAATATGAATACGTTTTCTGGTTAGAAAACTGAACCGTTGGTAAATGTCGTTTCTTTAGAAAGACTTTCCGGATACTTTGTAGCTTTTTTGTTGTACATGGGAATCAACCAGTTGTAATACCATGCATGCATGTAGTTTAGGTATTGGCCGTAAATATCATTATATCATTATAATTCTCATAAAGAACATTATAAACTTCACCTTCATGAATCAAATCATCTCAAATTATTTGATTTTGTTTGCAAGCTTAATAGTCCTTCGCAAAACAGTATAATATTTCTAGTCGAAAGTTAGACCGCGAGCAGTCCCTCGGGAGAAAGGAGGGACGCCGACAACACATCAAGAAACCAAATACGCCCACTTTTCGCTCTTGTCAAGTTGACTCCGCCTTTGCATAAACATTACCGTTAATGTAATGTTTATTTACAGGGTGTATAAAAAAAGGTAATCGAACTTCAGCGCGCTATTGTACGTGAATTATTCGGCGTATGGCCATTTTTTTTCATATTCGGAAAGATCAGGCTTTTTCCTGTTGAACGACATGTTTTTCATGCCAGGTGAAGAAAAAACAAGCAATCACGAACTTGTCGTAGCTTAGCATGTGCCGAATACATTAAATAATTCATACGCAGAGTAATGTAGATACAAAAGCTCGCTGAAGTTCGATTACCTTTATTTAGACACACCCTGCATAAAATCAACATTCAGTCGGAAATTCAAATTATTTATAGCATAATTATTACGTATCAGATTTGATTGACAGGCGTATCGATTTCGAACAATGAGAATTTTGCGTTGTGTGGGCAACGCGTATTTCGTTGCTTGATGTGTTGTCGGCAGTCCCTCCTTTCCATTCGCATGCCCGGAAATCTAAACCGAGGGACCGCTCGCAATCCAGTCGAAACTTTAATTTTATGAAATTAAATAATTATTGTTGAAAATTGTCTACAATCCGGATCCATAGTGATTACAAATCTAATTTCTCTAGGCAAAAGTTCAAACCTTTGCATAATAATGGAATATTGTCCGAATGGAAATCTTCGAGAATTCTTACGAAACAATCGCAGTCGGTACAACGCGGAGGAAGAATTATTCGATCCAGATCTTTCCCAAGTGTTTGGTCCAAAAAGTTTGATATATTTTGCTTGGCAAATTACGAAAGGAATGACATTTTTGGCCTCAAGAAAGGTAAAGTTTCCCCATCCCAGTATAAGACAGACCAGATCCTGTATACAGACTATATGTATCGGGTTTTCCCCATGACTCTACCGCAGGCGTAGATTGAATGAAGCGGCGGAGTGAGTTCAGAGCCGTACGTACGGATAGCTCGTTCGGAAAGAGCACAATGCTCCTTTGTTAGTGATACCTTCGTTTTATTGCGAGCACAACATTTGATGTGAGGTGAACTTTGTCAAATTCTACGCAAATTTATTTTTCAATGTACTTGATATGTAAATAAGATGACGTCAGTAGTAGGATACAGAATTTGAAAGTCCACACAACTCTAAAATCTCATATTTTTGTGCGTAACACTAATAAAATGAACGCAAATTTATATTTCAATGTACTTGATATTTAAATATGATGACGTCAGAAGTAGGATACAATATTTGAAAGTCCACACAACTGTAAAATCTCATATTTTTGTGCGTAACACTAACAAGATACACCATCGACATAAACTTACGATTTCATCTATTTCGTACTGTGAGCTTGACGACTTTGGTGTGATTGACATGTTTAAAAATTCTCTACCAAAACAGACTTAAATGATATAGCCAGTACCTTTTAATGACAAAGAGATGTTTTTCATATTGTCGTTCCAGTTTAGCAACCTATCAATCATGGCAAGGTTGTAAAAATAAATATTTTTCAATTTTTTTCTGTTATTCCTGCAGATAATTCATCGAGATTTGGCTGCACGAAATATCTTACTTGGACTGGGATATGTAGCAAAAATTGCAGACTTTGGATTGGCTAGAGATGTCTATAAAAATCAACAATATTTAAGAACATCAACAGTAAGTCTACAACCAACAATTTTGCTTGTTTGTATTCTCAATACTCTGAAATGTTCAGTTCTTTGAAAAATTACCACTTAACTGCGCATGCTCTAAAAATCCAATGATGTAAAAATAATTTTAAAAAATTATCAAGCCTGATCTAAAGGCACCAAAAATAGGCTCTCATCTCATAGTCGTGCGAAGACGAGTGGAGCCAAAACTTTCAACACCGATGCTTTCTTCTAGGTTTCAGCGTTTCTTCTTTCGAGAGATGTATTTGAAGTTGTCATAGTTTAGGATTTTTATTCGGCAGTACACCTTTCCGGAAAGTACGTTACCTTAATTGACTTAAAGGTCGTGATTGAGGTTTTGGTCTTTATCTTACATATACAAAAAATGGGACTCGTTCGGAAAAGTGACGTACTTTCCGCAAGAATGTATTCACGAAATGTGGCATTTTAATTTCTAGGGATTGGTTCCTTTCAAATGGATGGCTGTTGAGTCCATCAAGGATTCATTATTTACTGAGAAGTCAGACGTGTAAGTAAAACTGTAAGGAGAGTGTTTGTTAAACATGCGACTATACCATGCATCCACACAAATTTCCCAGAAAGATGAGAAATTGACCACTTGCGTAATAGACTAAATCAAACATTTCATCACAGCTTGAAAGCGCATCACAAAATTAGTAATATTCCAAAGTTTCGTTGCGAAATGTTGTAAAATGCGGATAATATATAGCCTTGCGAAGTTTGCAATTTTCAGTCATTTTAGATTACAAACTGGAAATTGACAGCCCCAAAGGGTATTGGGCTGTCAATTTCCCGTTTGTAATCTAAAATGACTGAAAATTCCAAACTTCGCAAGGCTATATTATCCGCATTTTACAACATTTCGCAACGAAACTTTGGAATATTACTAATTTTGTGATGCTCTTTCAAGCGTGATGATATTTTTGTCTAGACTTGTTCAGATCAAAATTTAGTCTATTACGCAAATGGTCAATTGAAGACTTCTTCAGATATTCTGGCCAGTACAAGGGCAATATATTAAATTGAAGGAGTATATTATTCAAGGAGGGGTTTTGAAAACTCGCATGTGCAGTGAACGAGTGATTGCTAAACTTCGGAAGAAATGCATCGTTCAAAGAACTGACTCATAAGTGAGAACATGTTGTTCTTATTGGCGTTGCATAGTTTGTTTACTTCAAAATCGGAATTTCAATAGCACGTTTTTGTTCGAAAAATTGAAATTGAAAGGTCTTAATAGGAATTAAGGTTTCTCAATTCCAAGGGAATAATTACACATTCCGAGTAAATATTGAGGGCATTTATTTGTTCCTATGGTTCGAATCATCTCTCCGTTTAGGTGGTCATTTGGTATTTTACTTTGGGAAATCTTCTCATTGGGTGAGTAAATTTAGCCTTTCTTTTATTTTTTCTCGAAATTGTTAGTGTTAACTATAAACGAATTCAAAATCGTACAAGATGGGGTAGAGGGAGCGGTCAGCTGCCTCCCCCGGAAAAATTCAGGTTGGGCAAATGGTAACATAAGTGGGCAATTTCTATGAGCTTTAAAAGTAAGTTGGGCAAAAAGATGCAGGGGAGGGGAGAAATTGAAAAGCAAGAAATGTGCAAGATAATAATCAAATACTTAAGAAATATGTAATGCGCCTCCCCCCCAACCCCTCCCCGGCACCAAGAATTTTTTAGATTTAGCAGAAAAACAGCTTTGATTGGTCGGGCAAAAATGCAACAAACTGGGAAAATTTCTTTCTGGCCCACTATTTTTTCCTCCTACACACCGATGCGCGAAATGTATCATCACTTTGCATTGTTTGAAACGTACCAGTTTGGGTATGAGTTTCATTTAGTAAGATACAATGTGGACATAGTGACAGTAGTATCACTTGCAAAATATATTGCTTTCAGGTGGGACTCCTTACCCAGGAATGCATGTCACTGAGGTACATCACTACTTGTTGCAAGGAAAGCGAATGGAACCACCTATTCATTGTCCTCAGGAAATGTGAGTATCGAATATGATTAATTAAGATCACAACGAAATTAAAAAATAGACTGATTCACAAAATAGTTGTCATTCTTTTTCTTCTTTCGAAATTAATTTCAACCGAGGTAATTCACTGCCGCCTTACAGAATACTTCAAGACTAATAGTTTAACAAAGTATAAATATAATGCCATATATCTATTCTTTTCGAGAATATATGATAGAAATACAGGAGACGGCTGACTTGCCTTGTTTTAGTACTTCTCAAGGTGCTATATAATTTCGTTTGTATGTATTATTTTCAATCTTAGGCCTGTTTTATACGTCGAATTTCAGTCGCGTCAAATTCAGTTCAAACAATAGATAATGAAGCTTAAATTAATGGGGTTTATTAACTCACTATCTATTTTCTTAATTGCATTCGACGTGGCCAAAATTCGACGTATATAAAAGAGGCCTAAAACTCTTACACTTTGCTTCTGTTGAAATATTGTTTTTTCGATAGATACAGTAGATAGATAGATAGATAGATAGATAGATAGATAGATAGATAGATAGATAGATAGATAGATAGATAGATAGATAGATAGATAGATAGATAGATAGATAGATAGATAGATAGATAGATAGATAGATAGATAGATAGAGACAGGCAGACAGACACATAGACAGACAGACAGACGGACGGACGGACGGACGGACCGACAGACAGACAGACAAACAGACAGACAGACAGACAGACAGACAGACAGACAGACAGACAGACAGACAGACAGACAGACAGACAGACAGACAGA